TAACTTCGATATGGGCTATATCAACGGTAGTTTAGGTGAAGTCATTGGATTTGAAGAAGACGATGAACTGGGGATGTTGCCTAAAGTCAAAATGACTGATGGTACAACCTTATTGGTTGCGCCAGAAACATGGTCTGTTGACAATGAAGGTGGTAAAACCATCGCCAGTCTACAACAAGTGCCATTACGGTTAGCTTGGGCAATAACTATTCATAAATCACAAGGGATGACCTTGGAAGCTGCGGAAATAAACTTAAGCCATACCTTTGAAAAAGGTCAGGGTTATGTGGCTTTATCCCGGCTTAAATCGATTCAGGGTTTAAGATTGTTAGGTTTTAATGATCAGGCGTTGGAACTGGATAGTCTTGCAATTAAAGCAGATCGCCGTTTTCAAGAGTTATCCAATGAAGCCGAAGTGCATTATGCAGATTCAGATTTAACCACACAGCACAATGCCTTTATTCGTCATTGTGGTGGTACGTTAAATACCACTGAGATTGAACGTAATGAGAAGAAGCTGGCGCGTAATAGTGGTAAAACCAATTATGCCTCAGCAACACTTGATGAAACGCGTGAATTGTTTGAAAGTGGCTATGAGATTCAGGATATTGCGGTTGAACGTGGATTAACTCCTGCGACGATTATCAATCATTTGGCTCGTTTACATCGAGAACAAGGTTTGGATATCTCGATTGCAAATCCTGGTGAAGAAGTTGTAGAAAAAATTCGTGTGATTTATAAAAAATTGAAGAAACGCCAAGATCCAAGTCATTTTAATGATGATGGTGCGATTAAATTGCGTCCAATCGTTGATTTAACCAGTCCCAAAATGGGCTATGATCAAGTACGTTTGGCATTGTTATTTGTTGAGTGATAGATGTTTTTAGTGATGAATTAATGGCTAAATTTGAGAAAAAGTTATTAAGTCCACGTTTAGCTATTTTGTCTAAATGCAAATATTCTAATAGTTATAATCTCAGCTTTCAGTTGTGCCCATTTTATTATGCGCATGAATTGATAGATTCAAATATTTCTTTTCAAGGGTTGGAGCTACCATCTCCATTTTTAAAAGATTTGCTTGGGTTGACGTTGGTTTTTGATGAAAATGAATGTGATGCATTTAATGGGTGTTTTACCATTAAAAGTATCCATAATCCTGTCGATTTATACCAATTGGCATTTATTGAAAGTCGTGACGGTTATCTAAAAGTGATTGCGAAAATCAAGATCGATTTTGAGTTTGAGCAATTTGATGATTTTGAAAATCTAGAATTGGTGATCAATGCTACTGTTGCATCTCAGATCTTATGATTCAATCGTTTTAAGTGAAAAAGAATGAATTAACACAGATGCTTATTGATGATTTTGTTAAGGTCTATCAATAGAATACAATAGATGTCGTGCTTTGAATGAGATAAAGAACCATAAAGCGCCCTAGTCCAGAAATGTTTCATCTCATGGTTATTCATATTCTAAAATTAAAGTGAATTTCAGCATCGTATAGCTGTGTAGTAAATTTGGATGCTATACTCGCACTTTAACTTCCTTCAAAACCAGTGCTTTTTTATGACACTTACGCCACCTTAAGTTTATTTACCTCTTCTAATTTGTAAATAACTCATCACTGTCTAGTGATGTGGTGTAGTCGTTTGTGTGTCGTATATCACATCACTAGCCTATCAAAAAATCAAAAAAATAGGCGCTATTTATGTTATCTAATATCCGAGAACAATGGTTCTCTAACATCCGTGGGGATGTGCTTGCTGGACTTGTTGTGGGGCTTGCACTCATCCCCGAAGCTATCGCTTTTTCAATTATTGCTGGTGTAGATCCAAAAGTGGGTTTATATGCATCATTTTGTATCGCCGTCGTGATTTCGTTTGTTGGGGGACGTCCAGCAATGATTTCGGCAGCAACAGGCGCTATGGCATTGCTTATGGTCACTTTAGTAAAAGAGCATGGCCTTGAATATTTACTTGCTGCAACAATTTTAACGGGTGTGATTCAAATATTTGCAGGCTATTTGAAGTTAGCGAAGTTAATGCGGTTTGTTTCTAAATCTGTAGTGATTGGCTTTGTGAATGCTTTAGCTATCTTAATTTTTATGGCTCAGTTGCCTGAATTTGTGAATGTGACGTGGCATGTTTATACTTTGGTTGCATTAGGTTTGGTAATCATTTATTTATTTCCGCTCATTCCAAAATTAGGAAAAATACTACCTTCACCGCTTGTGTGTATTATTGCAATTACGATATTGGCAATGAGTCTTGGATTTGATGTGCGAACAGTTGGGGATATGGGGGCTTTGCCTGATACGCTTCCAATATTTTTACTTCCAGACATCCCTTTGAATGTTGAAACATTGAAGATTATCTTGCCGTATTCATTCGCATTAGCGGCAGTTGGTTTACTTGAATCTATGATGACAGCGACGATCGTGGATGAAATGACTGATACACAAAGTGATAAATATCAGGAATGCAAAGGGCAAGGAATCGCGAATATTGCATCTGGTTTTATGGGAGGAATGGCGGGTTGCGCAATGATCGGTCAATCTATGATTAATGTGAAATCAGGCGGTTTTTCTCGCTTATCAACATTCTCAGCGGGTATTTTTCTTCTTATTCTTGTTGTATTTATTAGTGACTGGCTCAAAGTGATTCCGATGGCTGCATTGGTTGCTGTAATGATTATGGTCTCTATTAGTACCTTTGAATGGCGTTCTCTAACTAGCTTTAAAGCAAATCCTAAAAGTAGTAATGCTGTGATGATCGTGACCGTCATAGTGGTCGTGGCTACTCATAACCTCGCATTAGGTGTACTCAGTGGCGTTTTGCTTTCAGCGCTATTTCTTGCCATTAAATTAGAAGATGATATTCAGGTGAAGTCTACTTTTGAAGGTTCAGCACGTTTATATGATTTAAGCGGTCAGATTTTCTTTAGCTCTTCTGAAAAATTTATGCAAAGTTTTGACTTCAATGAGAAAATTTCAAATGTAATTATCGATTTGACTCACTCCCATATTTGGGATGTCACATCTGTTGCGATGTTGGATTCTGTTGTAAGCAAATTTCGTAAGAATGGAATCAACGTCACAGTACGTGGTTTAAATGAAGCGAGTTCAATTATGATCGATAAGTATGGCACACATGCCAGAATTTAAATTAATGAGACTCTATATTTATGTAGAGTCTCTAAAATCGGTATAATCTTAATTATGCAAGTACTTCGTAATATGAATTAGCTAAGATTCATTTATGGGATATATGCCACAAATGCTAAAACTAAAATCAGCAAGAGAGGGACAATAGTTTTAGCTTGTGAAATATTGATACAGCTGAAAAATACAATCAATGTAGTGTAAAAAAATAAAATGTTTGAAATAATTAAGATGCTAACTTAAGCCCAATGTCTAGCTTTTAAAAAAGATTCAAACTTAAAGTAATATTTACAGATTAAAATCAACGAAATATAGATTAGTATTTGATTTATCTCGAATTCCTTATCATTTAGAAAATTTAGTATTTGGAAGTAAATTTGTAGAGCTAAAAGTAAGCTAAAAAAAATAACACCTCTACGACTTGCTTTTTCTTTTACCGTTCTCATAAATCTAAGCGCTAAAATGTTAATTTAGCGTTAATTTTACAGTTTTTTTATATGTTAATGCTATAATTCTTATCAATATCTAGTGCTTTCAAACGGTTAATACCATGCCACAAATGTTTATTGATTATTCTGACAATATTCAAAATTTAGATAAAAAGAAATTGATGTTGGGCTTAAATCATGCACTGTTTGATACAGGTTTAGTGGGGCAAGCACATGATATTAAATCCCGTATTCAATCAGTTTCGGATTATTTGATTGGCTTTGGGGATGAAAGTGGCGAGCAGAGTAATCAAGCATTTATTTTCGTACGTTTACAAGGTCTAAGTGGTCGTACTGAACCACAAAAAGACTTAATGACTGAAAATTTATCGCAATTTTTACAGTCATTTGAAGATTATTCTGCACAGGGTTTAGAAATTCAGCTCTGTGTAGAGTTTGCTGAAATGCCACGAGAAATTTATAAAAAAGTTTTCGTGCAAAAATAATCAGATTGGGGCTTAAAAGATAAGCCCCAATTTTTTACTTATTCATTTCTAAGCTCGCATATTGCTTTAACCAGTTTTGGATATCGCGCTTGTAACTCAACACCATTGAGTAAATCTCTTTCAATCTCGGCCGCCGCAAAATCATAGTGATGTTCTGGATGTTGTAAATATACCGCATCACGAATCTCAGACTCTTCTTCATTTTCATGATGAACGCTATATGCTTCATCAGCAACATAGAGTAGACCCTCAGCCCAAGTGTCGCCTATATCAAAACTATATTTCCCGCTAACAAAGTTTTGAATATCTTCTTGTATGTCATCAAAGAATTCCTTGCCTTTGAGAATTAACCAACATCTAAAATAAATAAAACCATCATCTGATAAATAGGCATCGAAATTGAAAATGCCATCTTTTTCAGTAAAATCAGATTCTAAAATTGTCGAGAGTTCTGCGATTTCAGCGCTATAGAGTTGTGAGAGTTTGAGCTGGAGTGTTTTTTCAAAAGTAATCAGTTGTTGTTTATCTAATTGAGATAAATATTGCACAAGATCTTGTAAATGCTGGTCAATATCATAATCAGACCAGTGAGCATTTTTGTTGTGGTTCGACTGGTCTATTGCGTCCCAAAATAATTTTTCTTCTTCTCGTAATGACATAAGTGATTCCATAATAGGTTTAAGCTTAATTTTAATGCTAAAAAGCAAGTTTATCTGTTTAGTTTAAAGACTTAAGACTTCTATATCAGCATATTGCCAAATTTTATCTGCACTCATTTGATATATTTCATCTAAAAATGCGACATTAAAGCTTCCAACAGATTGGGCTTTTTCAAAAGCCAGTTTTCCTGCAATCGCAAAATGGATATGTGCAGAGATTGTTGCAATCGTAGCTGTTGTGACTGTACTATAAGCTGCAATTAATGCCCCTAAAGCGCAACCTGTTGCCGTGACTTTCGGCTGTAAAAAGCTTCCGCCATTGACCTGAATCACACTATTAAATTCTTTAGATAGAATAAAGTCAGATTCACCAGAAATTGCAACACATTCGGTATGGGTTAAAAGTGCTAAAGCCTGTAAATACACTTCATTGCTTGACACAGTACTGTCTACACCTTTCGATTCAACCTGATTTCCGGCAAGTGCACTGATCTCTGAAGCATTGCCACGAATAACATTCGGTTTAAGCAAAACCAATTGATCAACCATTTCACTGCGCCATTTGAGAAATGCACCATAACCAACAGGGTCGAGCACCCACGGTGTATTTTTACTTGCTACAGTTTGTGCTGAAATTTGCATGGCCTGCATTTGTTCAGAGGTTGGTGTTCCCACATTGATACTTAATGCCGCAGCAATAGAAGCAAAGCTTTCCGCCTCAAATGGGTTATCAATCATTGCAGGTGAAGCCCCAGCAGCCAATAAGACATTGGCAGCATAATTTGCTGCAACACTGTTGGTGATACACTGGACTAAGGGCTGTTGAGTTTGTAACTCAGTCCAAGCATCCACAACTTTTTGTAAAATGACATCAGTGTGGGTATGAAGTTGATCCGTTTGAGAATGTGTAATATTTTCAGGATGATTCATAAATGCTCCTTACTGAGTAAAGTAGTGGTCTTGGTGTTTGCAACTGCGACAAAATAATGTCACATAATTTTGTGCATCATACTCAACCGTTAATTCGTTTGAGCCACAATACATACAGCGCTTTTGCGAATAGAAATTTAAGCGTGGTTCAATCTTTTTCCAAGATTTCCACACAGGTTGAAAGAAGATACCTTCATCGTAGCCTAAAAACCGATAAAACAGTATTTCACTCATCCTACTTAATGGAATATTCGGTGGACGTGGCAGGGTTGAGGTTTCCCATTTTTCTGCAATTGCGCGTTCTCGATATTGTTGCACTGTTTTTTTGAGAATATTGGTATTAATAAAGTTTTCGTTACGAACTTGTAGCGCCTTTTTTTGATATAAATATTCAAGCGCAGTTTGAATGAGATAGAAAATTTGCCCAACGGCTAATGTGTCGAGTAGGTGATAACAGAAGATTTGGAAGTTTTTATTGCCCGAAATCTGGATACCCCACGTGCGACAATAATGTTGGGTAAACTGTACAATTTCTTGGTACAGCACAACATAGAGTGCATTTTTGACTTCTTCGGATGTTTTAAATGGGATACCTTGGCTTAGATTTTCATAGAACCAATGGCGTAGTTGTGTTGCGATACTAAACATACTCGGTTCGGAATAACCATCCAAACGGACATTGATATAGTATTGGTGTGCATCATCACTAAAATCTTTGGCAACAAAAACATTGTCTTTAATCAGTTGATTGAGAAGTTGACTTTGAAAATAGTAATTGGGGGTAATGGGATGATATTTAATCACTTCCCAGTCAATAAACTCTTGATGGTTGGTATTTTCATGCACCTGATTGTCTAAAATACTCAGTAAAAATAATTTATGTAAAAAACTGAGCTGGTCTAAACCTAATTCAAAATTATCTTTTTTCTTTAGCTTACGAGTTTCTTGCAAGCGAGTTTCTTTAATCAGTTTACGCCGTTTGCTTTGGCATGTTTCACAATGACAGTTGCGTTGATTGTTTTGAAAAACTTGATGATTGCAATGGCTACATTGGTGAAAACTCACTTCTTTCTCAAATTCTTCAGCTTCAACATAATACATACTTGCCTGACAAAGTGGGCAAAATGTACTTTCATCCAGCTGTTTTTGCAGAATTTGAAGCATAGAGATAAATATATAAATTATTAAGGACTTTTCATTATACACATCTATATAGATGAAAGCTGATTGCTTAAAATGAATGTTTTATAAAATATACAATTCAATGATGATTGAACCCATTGTATGATTATTCAATGATATTCAAAGACTAAATTTCAACGAGCGAATCCATTTGAGTGCAAGTTTAGATGTTTCGGAATGGGATCATTTTTTAATCTTTTTATCTGGACTGTACGTAGAATGCCATTATGGTATTTTCTTGCTCAAAGCACTTAAAAACATTCAAATTGATCCGATTGAGAACCGTTATATGGGGCGCTTCGTTGCGTCAAAACATATTGACCATTCGGAATTATTGCAGGATAAAATAGCGCAGTCTGGTTTACATTATCATTTTGAAAAGAAAATATTCGTAATCCCTTTACAAAAGTAACAATGTGGAGCTTTGGGGAAATGAAGCTTGTATGGTTTATCAGTTTATATGGTTTAAATGCGGTAAATAGAACGTATCTATTGATTCTATTTACCGATAAAAGGTGATTTAAACAATAATCCTAACGCTTACCTGCCTCAATAAGCAGCAGGGCATGGTAATTCAGAATCCTCAAAATGCTCCATTTTAGCCTGAAGCAATGCCTTGGCTTTTTTAGCTGGAACTTTGTGCTGTCCTAGCATTTCATATTGTTTTAAAAGCGCAGTCACTTCACTGGTTTTTAAAGGAATGCCTTCACAAGTCATAAACATCGCAATAACCTGATGATCTAACTTCGCTTTATCCAGCATTTGCATCGTTTTAATGTTTTCAACACGGACTATATGGTCTTTAAAAATCATGTTGCACCTCATTTTTTGTTGAGTATTTTTATTGTGCGATATACACAACATTAAACAAGCAAGAACTGTGCTCAAAATGTAGTCGCTTTGAAAAAAGTGTAATGTTGTGCATCGTGGTATTTAATGTTTTATCGTGCACCTACAGGTTGGTACAATCCATTACCCTTACCAATATGCGATTGATAGATTGGAATCCATGGTGCGAAGAATATATTTTGTTTCCATTCATTTAGCACATTAAAACCGTTACGTGCAATTGCGATACGATGTTGTACATTGGCCAGATTGGTTGCTGTGAATGGTGCGCGTATAATCAGATAGGGGGTGAAAATTAATTTAAATTTATTGATGCCCACAAAGATATCACCACGTAAGCCTAAATTCTCTAAACTCAGCGAGAGCATAAAATTATTAATTTTAGCAAAATCACGCATTATTGGCTTATCCCACATCGGCTGTAGAATTTTTTCCTGTTCATGAATACCAAAGCTGATAGCTGCATCTGTAGCCAACTTTTTAAATTTTGATGAATAAATACCTGATCTAAGCGCTTCTTCATCTGCGATTTTTTGTAATTGAAACGCTTGTGTCAGGGTTGATCCATAGCCAGTCAGTTGTTGTGCTAACACCAAAGCATCATAGTGTTGATGCATAATACTGAGTCCACCAATATCTGCCATCACATTGGCTTGCCCATTAATTAATTCATTATTGGCTTGGGCAATGGTGGACTGTAATGTCGGTACATTCATCCCTGCAATAATGACACTTTGACCATTGGTGACATTTAAGGGATCTAAAGCATTGGACAATGAGAAGGTTAATGCATACGTAGAACGGACATCATTGGCTACAAAAACACCCAGATTTGGCCAGAAGAATTTTGGATTGTTACGACTGAGTGCATCGTAATACATTAAAATAAAAGCATTAGTTGCAAGTAATATTTTTTGTTGTGACTGGTTGCCATAAGTATTTATAGCAAGCTGCCTAACTGTGGAAAATTGCTGGCGAATTTTGCTTCGGATACTTTCGTATTGCTGAATGGTGGATGTAATGGAAGGATCGTATAGAAAATTTTGATTATTGGCTATGTTGTAAAGTTGCTGGTACAGGTTTTTTTCAGACGTATTCAGATTGCGTTGTACCATATTGGCATTCATATTGTAGGCAAGTTTTGAGAGTTGTGCTGGGCTCGCTTGAGTGGCATAGCTGGTTGCTGCCATTGTTTGTGTGGCATAAGGTACGACCAAAACAGCTGTAATACCGATGATACATCTCGTTAATATTGCTTTAAATCTGGATATGGTTTTCTTATTCATGGGGAACATCCTGTTAATTTGTTTTTTAGAATTATGCTTATTTTGAATGTGTGCTATTCAAAGGTTCTAGTTATAGATAAGAAAAAATAAATTTAAAATGTGCTTTTAGGACAAGCAGATGAATGGTTTTTCCAGTAAATGATAAAATTATGTGATAAGTAAAATGAATATAGTTTCATTATAAAAATCAGAACAAATCGCCATTGTCATAAAACTGTCATCACGACATTGCATAGTGCAATAAATTTTACATATATTTGACATAAGAGTAGAGCAATATGGCATTTAAATACGGCGTTGCTGCATTAGCTTTAATGCTAAGCGGATCAGTTTTTGCAGCAGTCACCTTATCTGCGCCAGAAGAAATTGTAGTATTGGCGGTGAACGATCAAGAAGTGAATTCAGGTTTAATCCGTAAAAAGAATGAATATAAAGTCGATGCAGGTCAAGTTGCGGTAAGTGTTCGTTATCAACAATATTTTGAACATTTAAATGGTGAACATGATATTTTAAAGTCGGGTGTGGTTACAGTGACTGCGCCAGATTTAAAAGATGGTCAAACTTATAAAATTGCTTTGGTAAATCCGCCTCAGCGTTTTGAAGATGCAAAAAAATATGCAGAACAACCAACGATTGCGATTTATGACAATAAAAACCGTCTCGTGGTGCAACAGACTGGTGTAAATACTGAAGCGAAGCCTTGGTTAGGTTCTGGTTTATTTGGCAAAGTGATTGATTTAACTTCAAGTAAAAAAGCGCCAGTAAATCAACCCGCAGCTGTATATGCAACAACGACAAGCCAATCACCAGCAGCAACCACAGTTAGCAAGACCACTCAAACCGTGAGTGACGCCAATTCAGCAGATCGCCAATTGATTCAAATCTGGCAAAATGCAAGCAAGGCGGAACGTCAGAAGTTTATGACTTGGTTAGCTGAGCAATAATTTTAAGTAAATCTGAAAGACCATTTCGATGGTCTTTTTTTGTGTTATAACAAAGTGTGTTTTTGAAAAAAAAGAATAAAATGTTTGAAAGTTTTTTGATGTCAGATGATTTTCTTTATACAGCAGCGATCATTTTTACCGTTATTGGTTTATTTGCTTTTAGTTGGATTCCATATCGAGCTTATTGTATTACAGCAAAACTCTTTCAAAATAAAGCTAATATTTTCCATTTTCTAGCTTTCTTTGCTACTTTAGGTATTTTATATATCTGGTCAATCTCATTTTATAAGCTGATCTTTAAATGTATTGCGGGAACTGCCCAAATGCATTGTTCGGCTAGTCGAAGTGGGGAATTGCTAATTCTCATTGAGGTTGCTTTATCACTGGTCATTTTTGAATTGGTCCTATTTATCTTCAATTTTTTAAAAAGCAAACTGTATGCAGCTTAATTTTAGAACAGCACGAATATCCGACATTACAAATTTAGTTGATCTGATTAATTCTGCTTATCGACAACAAGAAGGTCGTAGTTGGACGAGTGAATCAGAAATTGTCACGGGTGATCGAATCAATGCCAAGCAATTAGAACAAGCATTGGCTCAGGATAATTTTCAGTTATTTGTTGCGGAATTGGATGAGCAAATTGTCGCATGTATTGGTTTGACTTTTACCCAACATGATGTGGAAATCGGCACATTTTGTATTGCAACTACATTACAAAATCAAGGTATTGGCAAATATGTTTTAGATTTTGCTGAACAGTATGTTCATAACAAAGTTCTATCCAACCATTGCCATTTTACGCATTTCGTTATGTGGGTTTTAAGTGTACGTCATGAATTGATTGCTTATTATCAGCGCCGTGGCTATGTACAAACGGGTGTAGTGGCTGATTATCCTGCAAGTGCAAATGTAGGCATACCTGTTGTAGATTTGCATTTAATCGAAATGAGAAAGAGTGTCACAAGTTGCGTTTCATCCAATTAAAATAAAACCCTGAATAAATCAGGGTTTTATTGTTTCAAATTTTGGACTTAGCTAAAGAACCAAGTGTAATAGCCCCACAGCATGAGTGGCCATGCGACATAGGGGCTAAATAACCATTTCCATAACCAAAACTGTGGTAGAAATCCGACCCCATGTATAAAGCCACCTGAAATACCAATCATCACCATCATGAGCGCACTATGGTTATAGTGACCATTGGCATCAAGCATTGCTCCAGGGTGGATCAACAATACCGCAGCAAGAGGCAATGCCATCAAAAACGAAATGGCCATTGCAAACTTATTCGGCTTTCTTTGTTTTGTTGTCATTGCGATCTCTGTCATGGTTTATTCCTCATCCAAATCTTGATGATGTTCAATATAGAGTGCACTTAACACACCTGCAAAACACGCCATCAAGATCCCAAGAATCCAAGCGAAATACCACATAAATATTCTCCTATTTACTTAGACACAGCCTTAGTACAGGCTGTGTGAGTTATCTTGAACATGTTTGTTGGTGATAACGCCCCACATTTTGTAATAACACCATGTGGTATAGATTAAAATAATTGGCACAAATATAGAAGCAACCACAGTCATTACTGTCAATGTATTCTTACTTGAAACCGCATCCCACATGGTTAAACTTACAGTTGGATTAATACTTGATGGCATTAAGAATGGGAACAATGCAAAACCAGCAGTTAAAATTGAACCCGTCACCGCTAAGGTAGAACCTGTAAAGCTGACGCCAGCTTTGTTTTTACCAGCACCAAAGATAATCAGGATTGCGCCAAAGATTGCAGAAATAGGTGCAAGCATGGTGATTGGGTAAATTGAATAGTTATTCATCCAACCATGATTACCCGTTGTTAATACTTCTTTCGCAAGCGGATTGGCAACAGCATTGGTATTAAATGGTTGTACCAAAGTATATCCTTCGATGCCACCAAAATATAACCAAGCACCCACGCCCAAGAAGGTAACTAAGAAGAGTATACCCATCAATTGCGTTGCTTTAGCAGAACGTTGACGTAATACACCATCTGTACGCAGCATTAACCATGCGCCACCATGTGCACACAGCATCGACAAGCTCACTATACCGCAAACCAATGCAAATGGATTAAGCAGGGCAAAGAAGCTACCTGTATAAGTTGAACGTACAGTCTCATCTAAAGTAAACGGGACGCCTAAGAACATATTACCAAATGCAACACCGAAAACTAGCGCAGGTACAGCACCGCCGATACATAAGCCCCAATCCCAGGAATTACGCCATTGGGTATTTTGCAGTTTAGAGCGATAGTCAAAGCCAACAGGTCTCAGGAAGAGTGCAAATAAGACCAGCAAAAGCGCCCAATACATACCGGAAAAAGCCGTTGCATAAACCATAGGCCAAGCAGCAAATAGTGCGCCACCCGCAGTCACGAACCAAACTTGGTTACCTTCCCAATGCGGTGCAATGGTATTGATTGCTGCACGGCGTTCATCATCAGTTTTACCTACAAATGGCATCAGTGCCATTGAGCCCATATCGAAACCATCTGTGAGGGCAAAGCCAATCAGTAGAACACCGACTAAAACCCACCAGATAATTTTGAGAAGTTCATATTCGATCATGATTGATTCTCCCCAGTTTGAGCTTGCTGAGCTTCAAGTTTCTCGAAGTGATATTTACCTGTATGTAAAGAGCTTGGTCCTAAGCGTGAGAATTTGATCATTAAATACATTTCAATAATCAATAACACAGTATAGAACGCGGCTAATGCAATGATTGATCCCCATACATCGCCAGTGCTTAAACTTGAGGCAGAGAGATGTGTAGGCAACACTTCACCAATGGTCCACGGTTGACGACCACCTTCTGCTACATACCAACCTGTTTGTGCTGCAATCCAAGGTAAAGGTAGTGCAAACAATGCAAATTTAAGTAACCATGGTTTATTTTCTGCATTGCGTTTTGCCACAGCAAATGTTGCAAGAATAAACAGGAGTAGCATTAAGAAACCAGAAGCGACCATTGCACGGAAAGAGAAGAACAATGCGGTTACATTTGGAATGGTATCTTTTGTTGCTGCTTGAATATGTGCTTCAGAAGCATCTGTTACATTTTCAGTATATTTTTTAAGAAGTAAGCCATAACCTAAATCTTTTTGGTTTTCTTTGAACGATGCCATCAGTTCAGGTGAGCGGTCACCAGCACGAAGTTTTTCAAGTTCGCTATATGCCACCATACCATTACGGATACGGGCCTCATGTTGAACCATCAAATCTTTAAGCCCAGTGACTTCTTTATCGAGTGAACGTGTGGCAATAATACCCATCGCATACGGGATTTTTATGGCATAGTCAGTACGTTGTTCTTCCTGATTTGGAATACCAAATAAAGTAAATGGCGCAGGTGCAGGATGTGTTTCCCACTCAGACTCAATTGCAGCCAACTTGGTTTTTTGAACATCACCAAGCTCATAACCAGATTCATCACCCAATAAGATGACTGAAAGTGTAGACGCTAAACCAAAGATTGCAGCGATGGCGAAAGAGCGACGCGCAAATGGTAAATCACGTTTTTTCAATAAGTAATAACTTGAAATGGCGAGAACAAAGATTGCACCAGTCACATAACCTGCAGACACCGTGTGAACAAATTTCACTTGAGCAACTGGGTTAAAAATCAAAGCACCAAAGTCGACAAGTTCCATACGCATGGTTTCAAAATTAAATTCTGAACCGACAGGATTTTGCATCCAACCATTAGCAACTAAAATCCATAATGCGGATAAATTCGAACCCAGCGCAACTAACCACGTCACACTTAAATGTTGAACTTTTGAAAGGCGATCCCAGCCAAAGAAGAATAAACCAATAAAAGTTGATTCTAGAAAGAATGCCATCAATCCTTCAATGGCAAGTGGCGCACCAAAAATATCACCCACATAGTGAGAGTAGTACGCCCAGTTTGTACCGAACTGGAATTCCATGGTCAGACCAGTGGTTACACCTAAAGCAAAGTTAATACCAAAAAGTTTGCCCCAGAATTTGGTCATGTCTTTATAAATTTCTTTACCAGAAATCACATAAGTGGTTTCCATAATGGCAAGAATAAAAGCCAGACCTAGAGTAAGTGGTACAAATATAAAGTGATACATCGCGGTCATTGCAAATTGGAACCGCGAAAGATCGACCACGCTTTCAGAAATCATCAACGTGTCTCCTTGATTTGGGAAGGACTGCCAGCAATACGCTCAGCAACTTGGTTATCAAAATCTTTAGGAATAGTCGGCGCATCAAACCAGATATGTTTGATCGTCATTAAAAGGGCAATCTTAATTATTAATATGACTGCAATTTCTCTGACAAGCCGACGGTTTAAATCGTTAGGTTTTAAGCTCATGCGTTAAGCCTATTATTTAAATATGCTTATATTATTAAACAAAACGCAACAAGAAATAAATAGATAAAACAGTTAAAATAAAAATATATTATTAAATTTAAATTAAACAATGACTTAAAAAGTTGTGTTGTTAAAAAATATACTAATTTTTATTGATTTTAAAGTTGATTAAAACACTTGTAATTAATAAAAATAAAACCTAGTAAAATAGTATTGTTTAGATTTTATTAAACCAACTAAATTGGTTTGAATTAAATTTGATGAAAAATTATTCCGATTAAAACGGTTGGTTTTAAAGCTCAGTTAATTGTTATTTAAAATATGTTAATCAATGGATCTCTTTCATAAACAAAAAAAATGATCGTGTTGACTGAATCGCATTGGTATTGGAAGTTACTTTTTCTTTTTGAGAGAAGGTTAGGATGAGAGGTGTTTATGTTGATTTATGGTTTTAAAAAGGATTGATGAAAGAAGCTTAATCATTGCTGACTAAAAATTTATTGAATGACTTTCATCTACTCGAATATTTTTATGTAGTATTTAAATTTTGCTATAGATCTCTGAAAGAATTGATCATGAATTGCCGTTTTTGATTTGATGGGCGCGTTAAATTTTGTTTATTTTTTCGATGTAAAACTATGACTTCATTATGTTTTATGGAAGTAACTAAGTTTAAGAAATACAATAAGTTATTGAGCCTATGCGTTACACAAACGAAGGTTGAGTTGAAAGAAGACATTGGAAATTAATGTTGTAAATTAATACTGATCTGAACTAAAGAGGTGATTTGAGGTCGAAATTTTCTTGGCAATATAATGTGATTTTCTAAAACGTATTAAGATGATTTGAGATTGAAATTCTAACTCACCAAATTCTGGTTCGACTTGGATATAGTGCAGTTGTCCATTTTCATCACGGACCCGTGCTTGAGCTGAAAACCCAGGTCGTGCATTACCACTAGAGACTGTGGCTAATCGTCCAAGCAAGTCAACTTGATTTAATGCAACTTTAGGTTTTATCACCTGATCCAAACAATGAATCATAAACACGGTAAAGAAGATTGCAATCACCAATGCGGGTAAAACCACATAATACCAAGCGGCAAAAACTTGTTTGCTTGCAAAGATCGAGAGTTGTAAAAAATAGCCTGCAAAACTAAAATTTAATAATAAAAAAACGAAAATAAGTACTTTGGAAAATTTGACTTGTAACAGGGGCGACTCAATGAGCCAATCTGGTGAAATTTTTTTCAGAAAGGTACTTGGCCGTAAGCCAATATAGTAGCCAAAAGTTTCTGCCATACTCAGCAGAATTAAAGCCAAGACACTGAGGTGAAAGGGCATTAATTCATGTTCAAATAAGAATCCAAGCATGGCAGTTTCCAACCTTATTCGTCCTCGATGTAAATACCACCATCTGAATGGACTGAAATATTTACTTTTTCAAGTTTATCACCCAGACATGGCCCTGAAATACATTCACCTGTTTCAACTTCAAACAAAGCACCATGCGTAGAGCATTGAATATATTCGCCGTCTTGGTCTAAAAACTGATTTTCAAGAAATTCTAGTTCAGTTTGTAGGTGAGGGCAGACATTTTGGTAGGCATAAAATGCACCATCACGTTGAGTGATAAAAATGGTGTCGCCAGTCATTGTGTCAAACGCACGTGCCTTACGCTCTTCAATTTCATCGGTCATTGCAATTTTTTCAGACATTTATGCACATTCCTTTTTGAACGTTTCGAGTAGATTTGCGTATTCTGCAACGTCTAGGCGTGGTCCAAACTTAGACACAACTTCACTTGAAATAAGAATAGCAAGTTGTGCCGCAGTTTGTAAATTTTCACCATTATTTAAAGCATATAAGAAAGCACCTGAGAATGCATCACCAGCACCATTTGCATCTACTGCATTTACTTTACGACCTTGAACATAAAAATGCTGTTTTTGATCTGCGACTAATGCACCTTTTTCACTTAGTGTAATCACCACATCAGTACTTAGTGTTTTTAATTTATTCAGCGCAGCTTCAACAGAGTCAGTTTCTGTATACATCATGGCTTCTTGTTCATTACAGAAAATTAGATCCACACCATCATCGATTAGTTCATTTAGACCTTGGCGTGCATATTGCACCATTGCCGGGTCAGATAGGGTCAATGCGATTTTAACCTTGTGATCACGGGCAATTTGACGTGCTTGTTTTACGGCTGCGCGTGCTGAATCACTTGTAGACAAGTAACCTTCGATATATAACCATTGCGCTGTTTTTAAAGGTTCAAAATCCATTTGTAGATCTGAAAGTTCTGCAGTAATGCCGAGATAAGTTTGCATCGTACGTTCTGAATCTTCACTGACCAGAACCATACATGTACCCGTAACACCTTCACTGATCGATTTTTTCGAAGTTTTGATGCCTGCTTCATTTAAGCCGTCGAGATAAATTGTGCCTAGATCATCATTTCCAACACGGCATGCATAAAATGCTGAAGAACCTAATGCACTGAATGCCACTGTGGTATTGGCGGCTGAACCGCCAGATGCTTGACCTTTATAATTTTGGCTGGCTTTTAAATTATTGTATAGCTGAGTTTGGGACTCACCATCTGCGAGTTGCATGGTGCCTTTTTGCAAATTTTGTTCAGCTAAAAAGAGATCTGATACTTTAAATTCTTGGTCAATGAGCGCGTTACCAATTGCAAAAAGGTCAACTATAGCCATGTTCTTCATCACATCAATGTTAAAAACATAAAGTTTACACGAATGCTCAGCTTTACAGTAGTTTGTTGAAAAAATTTCAATTACATTTGTCAAATATGGTTTGTTGGAATTTTATAACTTGATGGTGTGCTGAACAAAACCTGTTTTTGAGATGATTATTGCGTAATTTAAGCCATTGTGTTGATCAGTGTGAGTCATTAAATTAGATTGTTTCACGGTGATTGATTGAGATCGCTGGGGTAGGTTTTGTTTAGAAATAAACATAGGCATAAAGTTAAAACTGTCTACAGACCCTAAATATATTGGAGGTTGAGTGAATATTTTAATTCAACAGGTAGATCAATTGCCTGCGCAAATTCAAGATTTAGCCGTAGTTGCTGAAAAAGAAGGGTTTCATTTTATTCAACGTTTGGTTGATGAGTTTCAGCAAGGCAGCAATAAATTTAATCGACATGGTGAATTTTTATTGGTTGCGTTTGATGGAGATAAACTGGTTGCATGCGGTGGTTTAAATATTCAAATCAGTGAAGATGGTGAAACAAAGCAGAACCCTGAAACTCAGCATAAAATTGGTCGGGTACGCCGTTTCTATGTGTTGCCTGAATACCGAAAAACTGGATTGGGTAAAAGTTTATTGCTCGAACTTGAAAAAAGAGCAAAATCTAATTTTTCTGCCTTGTGCTTAAGTAGTGAAAAAGATGCAGCGCTATTTTATCAAAAGCAAAATTATGTTTTTGTCTCAAATCACCCAAATTATAATTACTTTAAATATTTAATTTAGTGAGTTTGGAAATCCCTTGGCCTATAGCGCTTAACTTAGAGTAGCAGCATAATTCGATCAAGGAGCTGCTGGTTTATAGCTATAGGCTTTAAGATACTTTTTATTTTTGGGGATGTATCCATGTTGATCTCCAAAAATTTTTCTTGGTAAATATACTAAAAATAGCCTAAGCAATTCTTTTCTATAAAAAGCTCTTAATACAGATAACACTTGTTTAATCATTTTCAGGGAAAGCCTATTTAGATTGGTTCACAACCTTTACTCATTATCGGAATACATAGAAAACATTAGCCTAAAAAGGCTCGAAGCATCACTAATTAAAATATTGAGTTAAAAAAGTTAAGTTTTACAGTGATGATAGAATCTTTTGATCATCACTTTTTTATTTATCTCATTGCTGATTCTTGATATTTGAACAGCAAGTCGCGATGAATCCTGATTGATTTACTAAGAATTAGTGTTAGGAATGAATCGCATTTATTAAAGTTTCGGTTATACTTAAACGTATAGATAAACATTTAATATTGGAGATCGCATGACTGTAGATGTCACTGAAACCTTATCTCAAACTGTTCATCCTGCGTTTCAGCTGGTACGTCAACACCATGTAGAAGCTTTAGACATTTTAGTGTCTGAATATAAACATAAAGTGACTGGTGCAATGCACTACCATTTAGCAACTGATCACGACGAAAATGTGTTCCTTGTTGCTTTCCGTACTCAACCAATGGATTCCAAAGGTGAGGCACATATTCTTGAACATACAGCATTGTGTGGTTCAGAGAAATTCCCAGTACGTGATCCATTCTTTTTGATGATTCGTCGTTCATTAAATACTTTTATGAATGCGTTTACAGCAGCTGATTGGACCGCTTATCCATTTGCAACCCAAAATAAAAAGGATTTCCAAAACCTTTTGGAAGTCTATTTGGACGCGGCTTTTGCGGCCAATTTAAATCCATTGGATTTTGCTCAAGAAGGTATTCGTATTGAGCTGGAAAATGGTGAGCCTGTTTATAAAGGCGTGGTATTTAATGAAATGAAAGGGGCAATGAGTTCACCGTCAGATCAGCTTTATCATCAGCTTGCGCATCATTTGTTCCCGAAAACAACCTATCATTATAATTCTGGTGGTGATCCGAAGGATATTCCTGACCTAACTTATGATGAGTTAGTGGCGTTTTACAAATCACATTATCATCCGAGTAATGCAGTATTTATGACTTTTGGTGATGAGCCTGCTTATAAACTGCAAGAACAATTTGAAAAGTTGGCGCTGTCTAAATTCAGCAAAGGTGAAACGATTTACTCTAAAGAAGAGCAAAGACTAACAGCTCCGATTGAAGTACAAGAAACCTATGCTGTTGATGCAGAAGATTTAACAGACAAGACCTATCATATTTTGTCTTGGTTATTGCCAAAAACCAGTGATGTTAAACTTCGCCTGGGTATGCGTTTGGTTGAAGGGATTCTTTTAGAAAACTCTGCTTCGCCGTTGCGCCATTATTTAGAAACATGTGGTTATGCACAGTCTACAGGTCCAATCATGGGTGTAGATGATTCTAACTATGAAATGACGTTCTATTGTGGAGTTCAAGGTTCAAATCCTGAGCATACTGAAGAATTTAAAAATGGCGTGCTTAATATTCTTCAAGATGTTGCTTCTAAGCCTATCGATAAAGACATGGTTGATGCAATTTTGCATCAAATTGAATTACATCAACGTGAAATCAGTGGTGATGGTACGCCGTATGGTTTAACACTGATCCTCAATGGTTTGGGCAATGCAATTCATCATAATGATCCAATCCATGCTTGGGATGTAGATACTGCCATTGCAGAAGTAAAAGAAGAACTCAAAGATCCGATGTGGTTATCTAACTTGATTCAAGTTCATTTATTGGATAACCCGCATCGTGTACAAATGACTTTAGTTCCAGATGCAAATAAATCTGCTCAAGAAGCAGAAGATGAAAAAGCACGATTGGCGAAAATTGGTGAGGCTTTGTCAGAAGCAGATAAAGCTGAAATTATCGCACAAACTGAAGCTTTAAAAATTCGTCAAGAAACACCAGATGATTTGAGCTTATTACCTAAAGTTGGTTTGGAAGACATTCCAGCTGAATTAGCAATTGTACAAGGCCAATTGCGTGAGGTGATTTGCAATGGGGTAGATACTCCATTGAATCTTTACCATGCAGGTACAAATGGAATTTACTACCAACAAGTATTAATTCAAATTCCGGATCAGATTGTAAAATCGCCTTATTTCAACTTACTGTCTGTTCTCATGGGAGAAGTCGGTGCGGGCGAATATGATTATCTTGAACTTCAACAGTTACAGACGGCAGTCAGTGGCGGTTTGGGAATGGGCGCTTCACTTCGTTCTAAAACCGATGACAAAGGTCAAATTAGTGCATGGTTGACCTTAACAACCAAATCTTTAACGGATAAGTTTGATGCAATTCAGTTGCTTAAATTGGCTTTTGAGCAACTACGTTTTGATGAAAAAGATCGTATTATCGAACTTTTACAACAACGTAAAACACGTTGGGCTTCTCGTTTATCGGGTTCTGGACATAGTTATGCCATGCAAATTGCCTCACGTCATATGAGTGCGTTGGCAAAACGCGATTATGACAATACAGGCCTGGGCGCATTGAATTGGCTAGGTGATTTGATCGCAAAAATTGAAAAAGATGATGCGGCATATGATGCGTTTATAGATGAGTTAAAATCAATTCATAAAGGCTTAATGCTTGCACCAAAACAATTTTTATTGGTGTGTGAAGAGCATCATTCAGAGCGTTTAGTTGAAGAAGTGCAAACGGTTTGGGATAAACTTGCAGTTGATCAATCTCCTGTCTATTTAACGCAAGTGGCTATGGATGAGAGCAATGCAGATCAAGCGTGGTTAATTCAAGCCAATGTTCAATTCTGTGCTTCTGCTTACCAAGCTGTAGATGTTGCCCATCCAGATGCAGCGCCTTTGATGGTGCTTGCAGGCTATTTACGCAATGGTTTCCTACATAGTGCTATTCGTGAAAAGGGTGGTGCATATGGTGGGGGCGCAAGTTATGATGGCAATGCTTGCTCGTTCCGATTCTATAGTTATCGTGATCCACGCCTTGCAGAAACTTTCCAAGACTTTGAAGCAAGTTTAGATTGGTTGTTAAACAAAGAGCAGCATGATTATCAGCTTGAAGAAGCCATTCTTGGTCTGGTCTCTAGTATGGATAAACCAGGTTCACCAGCAGGTGAAGCCATTACTGCATGTTATGCATTGCTTCATGGACGTACACCTGCGTTTAGAAAGCAATTACGCGAGCGCTTATTAAACGTTACTATTGACGACCTTAAGCGTGTCACACAAACTTATTTACTTGAGCAAAAGCCTGTAAGAGCTGTAGTCGCTCCAGTTGCCAAAAAAGAAGTGTTGGAACAATTAGGTTTTGAAATTAAGAAAGTAAATTAACCCTATAAATTCTTTCTGGAGAATTCTATGTCGTTCAAAAATTTTGAACGTACACCATTGAATCTGAGCATCTTAATGATGCTCAGTTTTGGTTTGGTGACCATTGCTCATGCAGATGATACTGCACAAGTGAATCCTGCAAGTACGCAAGCCTGTGTTGCACTTGAATCTAATGCTGACCGTTTGGCTTGTTACGATAAAATATTTAAAATACCTACAGTTGCTCCGCAAGTTTTGGTGTCAGAGCAACGTGCTGCCTTAGATATTCAAAAAGCCGATGTTGAACCTGAAACCCTCAAAGATAAAATCACCCAGAAAGCAGAAAATTTATTTGCGATTCATGGTGATAAAATTGATCCGAATACCTCATTACTTGATCGACGTTGGGAGCTTTCTCAAGACAGTAAATTAGGTACGTGGAATATTCGAGCGAACCAACCTGTATATTTACTTCCCGCATTTTGGACCAGTAAGAAAAATGAATTTCCACAAAGTCCAAATCCTCAAAACACCGTGGATGAAGATCAAAATTTAAAGTCGATGGAAGCGAAATTTCAGATTTCTTTAAAAACCAAAGCTGCCGAAAATATTTTTGGAAACAATGGTGATGTTTGGGTTGGTTATACTCAATCTTCTCGCTGGCAAGTTTATAACAGTGAAGAGTCTCGTCCATTTCGTGAAACAAATTACGAACCTGAAGCGAGTTTGATTTTTAGAACCAATTATAATTTATTAGGTTTAAATGGTCGCTTACTGGGTCTGACTTTGAATCATCAGTCAAACGGACGTTCTGATCCGCTATCACGTAGTTGGAATCGGGTCATTTTAAATCTTGGTTTTGAAAAAGATAATTTTGCCTTAATGGTACGTCCGTGGTATCGCATTGAAGAAGATTTTCAGGATGACAATAACCCTGATATTAAAAATTATATCGGTCGTGGTGATTTGACCGCATTCTATCGCTGGAATGACAATGATTTTTCTTTGATGCTACGTCACTCTTTAAAAGGTGGGGATGACTCGCATGGTGCAATGCAATTTGATTGGGCATTTCCAATTAAGGGCAAGTTACGTGGACATTTTCAATTGTTTGATGGTTATGGCGAAAGCTTAATTGATTATAATCACCGCGCGACTTATGTCGGTCTAGGTGTTTCGTTAATGAATTGGTATTAATCATTTAAAATAGCGTTGATTGGCTAGATTTAAATAAGAAGCTGTCTTTATATAAGGCAGCTTTTTTGCTTCTGATTATTGAGTTATAGGGAATAGCTATAGTTTTATTTGGGTAAATAAAGGGAGATCCTATAGCACTATTTTTATACTAGATTAAGTATGGCAACAATCTAAGTACGAATGATGGAGGGCACTTAATTGTAGCGAAACAACCACTTCTATTGCCTCATGAAGCCGATTTTATACTTTTGAATCCTAGATGGTTATTCTATCTCGAAGCGACATGGATGTCGCTGTTGGGCGGGGGTATAGGACGTACCCCTTGCCTAACAAAAGATTTTTGTCCCTTTTTATCTCTAAAAAGGGAGGCCTCGCCAACGCAAAGGTATTTAAACTTTGAATGTAAAGTGTGGCATTGCAAGCTTTTTATAATCAAATAATTTATTTTTCCATACAATTGATTTAATTGAGAAAAATTATATTCTTGAGTCTGCTTTTTTTGATAGGTTGACTATATAATAAAAAACCACGCTATTTTTAACGTGGTTTTTTATAATTTGGCTATTTAAAGGCTTTATTTACGAAGTACTGACTGTTGAATCTTCATCCTCTGAGGCTTTTTGTTCAGGTTCAACCAAAAAACCACCTGTCTGTCTATGCCATAAGTGTGCATAAATACCATTTTGTGCGATCAGTTCCTCGTGAGTACCTTGTTCTGCAATTTGACCTTGATCTAACACAATCAAACGATCCATTTGAGCAATGGTTGAAAGACGGTGAGCAATCGCGATCACAGTTTTATTTTGCATTAACTCATCTAAGCTCGATTGAATTGCAGCTTCAACTTCGGAGTCTAAAGCACTGGTTGCTTCATCCAAGATTAAAATAGGCGCATCTTTTAAAAAAACACGTGCAATGGCAATACGTTGACGTTGACCACCAGAAAGTTTTACCCCACGCTCACCAACATAAGCATCATAGCCAGTACGACCTCTTAAGTCTGAAAGTTGCGGAATAAACTCATCTGCTTTGGCTTTTCTTACTGCTTCATACATTTCTTCATCAGTCGCATCAGGACGACCATATTTGATATTTTCCGCAACTGTACGATGTAATAAAGAGGTATCTTGGGTCACAAGCGCAATATTTTTTCTTAAACTATCTTGAGTGACTTCTTCAATATTTTGACCATCAATGGTAATTTTTCCATTATTGATGGTGTAAAAATGTAAAAGTAATTGAATTAATGTAGATTTTCCAGCGCCTGAACGTCCAACAATCCCAATTTTTTCACCCGGTTGAATGTTTAAATTAAAGTGGTCAATGACTTTTTTGCTGTTATAAGCAAATGTGACATCGCTAAATTTAATATTACCTTGAGTCACAATAAGTGGTTTGGCATCTTCTTTGTCTTGGATATTAATCTGACGACCTAAAGTTTGCATACCATCTTGAATTGTTCCGACATTTTCAAATAGGGCAGAGGTTTGCCACATCATAAACTCAGCCATACTGTTAAGTTTAAGAATCATGGCTGTTGTTGCTGCAATCACACCAATCGCTGCTTGACCCTGTAACCATAACCAAACAGCAGTACCTAATACCCCAAAGAATAAAACGGCTGTCAGTAAATTGATACAAAGTTCATATGCAGTGCCTAAACGCATTTGTTTGAACACTGTACGCATAAATTCTTTCATTGACTCTTTTGCATACTGGCTTTCGCGGCCTGCATGCGCAAAAAGTTTTACTGTCTGAATGTTGGTATAGGCATCGGTTACACGTCCAGTCATCACCGCACGTGCATCGGCTTGTTCTTTGGAAATTCGTCCTAATCTAGGAATGTAATATAAGGCTGCACTAACAAACAACGCCAACCATAATAAAAGTGGAATCAATAGAATAGGAGAAATTGATCCCAATACAATGCTGATGGTGATGAAATAGATGACAACATAAGTCACCATGTCGCCCAAAATCACCCAAAACTCACGTACCGCTAGTGCCGTCTGCATGACTTTGGCAGATAAACGTCCAGCAAAGTCATTATGGAAGAAGTCTAAGCCTTGGCGTAGCATTAGATTATGAAATCTCCAACGCAAACGCATTGGAAAACTACTGTATAAAATCTGATGTCTGATAATGGATTGCATACTGGCAAAAAAGATATTTGCCAATAAAATACAGCTTAAAAAGATCAAATTTTCACGATGATTTACTAAAAAGTCTTGAGGTTTAGACTGTGTTAACCAATCGACTAAATGTCCGATTTGTGAAAAAAACAAAGCTTCAAAACTTGCTGTTGCAGCAGTGAATAATATTAAAATCAATAAATAACGCTTAACACCAGTCGCGGCTTGCCAAACAAATGGAAAGAACTTGGTGGGTAATGGTTCGTTTAAACCTTTCGACGGATATGGATCGACTAACTTTTCAAACCATTGCAGCAACATAAAATCCTCGTGGAAATTTTATAGATTGATTAAATTGTAAAATATTGAAATGAAGTTACAACCTGAACAGCTTAAATTATTTTAAGGCAAATTCAGCAGAAATTGGGAGAATAGTGGGGTAATGTAGATTGTATAGTTTTCGCGGAAATTACACCAGTTATTTATATCGAATAAAAACGATTTATAGTATAGCCAAAGATAATTAAAAAATTATTGTACTTTGACAATCTAATCGTAAATTGAACATTAATCTTCTAACACTTTAACAATCATAAGAAAGTAAAAACACTGCTCGAATGTTTTTTACATGAGCGTTCAATTCTTAAAAGAAACTTTGCCTTTCTATAAGTACTATATTAAAATATAGATTACAGTCTATATTTCTAGGTTTCGCATGTGGACAGTCATTACAACGGATTTGTTTAATGAATGGCTTGAACAGCAAGATGATTCAACACAGGAAAAAGTCTTAGCTGCATTGGTCGTTCTACAACAGCTGGGGCCAAGTTTAGGTCGCCCTTTAGTTGATACCGTAAATGACTCGAAATTCACGAACATGAAAGAATTACGTGTTCAGCATAGAGGTAAACCACTAAGAGCCTTTTTTATATTTGATCCATTACGACAGGCTATTGTGCTTTGTATTGGTAATAAGGGCGGTAAAAAGCGTTTTTATAAAGAGATGTTAGATATTGCAGAACAGCAATACGAACTTCATCTTTCAACCCTAGGAGATCAATCTAATGGCTAAAACCTTACAGGAACTATTGGCTGGTCGTTCTCCAGAGAGTCAAGACCGAATTCAAAAAATGGCTGATGAACTACGTTTACAAACGCAGCTGCATCTTATTCGAGAAGAATTAGAGATTTCGCAAAAAGAATTAGCTGAGATACTTGGAATCAAGCAGCCTTCACTTTCAGCAATTGAAAATCGTGGTCATGATCTTAAAATTTCAACAATAAAGAAATATGTTGAAGCAATGGGAGGGAAGCTTCGCATTGATGTAGAGCTTCCCACAGGAAAACATATTGAATTTAATGTTTAACTGTTGAAAATGGAAGCGATAAGCTTCCATTTTTTGATAGGAATGAGCACGATTATGCTGAAAATTATCTAAACTTAAATTTAATTGAGTCTAGAGCTGTGTTAAAACGCTAAATGTCTACTTTTTTATTTTGGGTTTTAAATCATTGACAAAGAGTATCAATCCAAACAGTATTGGACTACTCAGTATGCACAAGGCCACAAAAGAGATGCTATTGCCATAATTTAAACTGAATAAAAATAAAGCCAAGATGATCAACGCAAACGAGATAACTTTTACCAATTTCACATGTTGCGCTAAAACAGACAATTTACTTTTCTGAGTCTTGGCGATCTGCTTTGAGCTGATCAAATACAAGCTATAACTGGCAATCAGGATCAGCAGAAATGCAAATACCAATATCATGACACAGACTCCTGCGCTGATTTTTGTTCCAGTTTTTTCTTGATCTTCGCCACAGCTTTGTTTTGAATCGGTGTGATTCTTTGATGTAAAAAAATCGCTAAAATGGCAAATAACCAGATCATTAAGTCCACACGTAAAAATAACCAATAGTCCTGTAATGAATGAATATATTGATTAGAAATTAGATAATAGACATTTAAAATAGGCAAGGCTAATGTCATGGCAATCAGCAACTTGAGCTGAGTTTTCCAGAGATATTGTTGTTTTGTGCAGAGCGCAATTATAAAACTGAATAACCATAAAGTGAAAAATGTATAGACTTCATAATTCGGTGTATCTGCTTGAAGTTGCACAAAACGATTGGCATATAAATAACCCAACATCGCAACGGGTAAACCAATAATCATCGTGGTATTGAGTCGATTTACCAGATAATGCCCAAAGTGAAAATGATCATTTTTCTTCTGTAATTGTCGTTTTAAACTCCAGAGCAATAAGCCCGAAGCAATCATTGCACAGCCCAGAAGACCAGAGAAAAACAAGCCTAAACGCAATAAAGGTTGGGCAAAATTCGCCATATGCAGCCCATACATACTGGCATTTAATGTTGCAATTGCACTGTTATTACGAGTATTCCCAATTAAAGCACCAGTAGCGCCATTAAAGCTAAGTTGTGCTTGATTACGTGTAATCGAATGATCTTCTAAGGCAGTAATCGTGAGCTTGGCAAGCTGTGTATTGGGTTGATCTACGGTAATGTTATCAATATTAGTTTTTCCCCATTGCTGTTGGGTTTGTTGCAGGAAATGTTGAATAGATAACATATTCTTCGGCTGTGCTTGTTGAGCCTTGTTTGCAGTTGAAACATGACGAATTTCATCAAAATACTGATATGGATTATCTGGATAGGCTTTTTTCATCCCTGCGGGGAAAAGCAGATAGAAAAAGATCGCTAAGCCGGTAAATGTAATGGTTAAGAAAAAGGGCAATGCGATTACCGAACTTACATTATGAAAATCTAAATATGAACGCTGACCTTTAAATGCTCTTAAGGTAAAGAAATCGGTAAATATCTTTTTATGGGTAATAATGCCTGAAATCAAGGCTATAAACATAATTAACGCTGCAAAGGTGACAATCAAACGCCCAATCGAATAAGGCATTCCATAAAGCTGATAATGAAATCCATAAAAGAAATCACCGCCTTGTGTGGCAGAAAGACTCAATTCTTTACCTGTATTGGCATCTAAAGTTTTACTTTCATAACCACCATCTGCTTTTTGCCAATAAATTTTATTTGCAGGGGTATTCTGGTTTGCAACACCGATATACCAACTTTTTGCATCTGGGGCATTTTTTTGCAAATAAGCAAATGCAGACTGTATAGCGGATTCCTGTTTGATCTGCATACTCGCGAATTGTGGTTGCATCCACATACTAATTTCATGGCGATAATATGTTGCAGAACCTGTCAAAAAAATTGCAAATAACAGCCAGCCGAAAGTAAGCCCGATCCAAGAGTGTAACCATGCCATAGATTGACGAACAGATTTATGCATGAGTTAACCTATAAACTTGGAAAATAGGAAAAAAGTAGCGACCAGAGCTAGGCTGATCAGCGTAAGTTTTTTTAAAGAATGTATACAAAAGCTTAGGATCACAAAAATAATGTAAAAAATAAGTGCGCTAAATGCCGCCAAGTAAATAGATTCAGCTTTGGCAAAATAAGGATAAAACACATCAATTAAAGCTAAGGATACTAAATAACTGCACACATAGCCCATACCAAAAGCCAGTATAAAACGATAGAGCACTGATAAAGGGTAGAGCACAATCTGCATAACGATCACTTTCTTGCAATTGAAAACGCCTTAATCTTAAAAGATTAAGGCGAATTCAGATTAGTATTTAAATTTTACAGCAACACTATAGTTTGCAGATGGGCCATAAAAAGCCTGACCATCTGGGAAGCTATATAAATATTTTTTGTCTGTCACATTGTTTGCATTTGCCTGTAGCGAAATATGCTTATTCAAGTCATAGCTACCCATCAAATTCACTAAAGCATAAGCATCTTGGGTAATTGTACTCTTTACAGAAGAGTCATACAGCTTGGTCGCATCTTGCCATTGTAACGCTGCGCCAATTTTCAGTTTAGGTATAGCTGGAATAGTATAGGTGGTTAAAAGATTAATGGTTTGGTTAGGGTTGTAAGTACGTGCCTCTCCACCATTTTTTAAATCTTTTAAACTAAATTGGCTATAACCGAATGTCAGATTTAAATGATCTGTTAATTGTCCAGCCAGTCCAACTTCTACCCCTTGAGAACGTAAGTCACTGGTTTCAACTTTTCGATTGAGAGGGTTTCCGTCAGAGTTACGTAATGGGTAATTACTTTGTTCTGTACGAAACACCGCCAAAGTTCCAGTGAGTTTGTCATCTAGCCATGAACTTTTAATACCTGCCTCATAGCTTTCGCCTTCAACTGGTTTGAGTGCTTTATTATCAGTACCTAATCCAGATTGTGGGCGGAAAATAGAGGTATAGCTTAGATAACCCGTGTATTCAGGGTTAAAGTTATAGGTAATGCCAACATAAGGAGATACTTTGTTTTCATCATAGGCCATTGATGAACCATAACTTTCACCTTCACTTTTAGCTTGAACATAATTTAAACCGAGTAAAAGTTTTAAATCATCGTTTAAGTGTAGGCGTGTTGCAGCATATACAGAATTGAGCTTTTGAGTATAGTTTGCAGCATCACTAAAAGCAGACCAAGTTACTGATTGGGGTGTCCAGCTTGCCCAGTTTGTGGTGAGCTGACGTAAATAACCTTGGGAGTAATCATTGTAGATATTAATATCATTGATCATACCTGAAGTTTGTTGATCATATTGTTTACTTTGTAGATAACTATAACCCAGTGTCGCTTCGTGTTCTCGGCCAAATAATGAATAAGAGCCTTGTAGATTTAAGTCAGCAAAATGTCTTTTTAGACTTTCTTTACCGCCCCAAGCGGTAAGGGCTACACCTGCTCCATTTTGATCAGGGTAACCAAAATAATAGAGTAAGTTACTGTTGTGATCGGTTTGGGTATAATTATAGCTAAGCTTTGCTGTCCACTTATCATTAATTTTTTGCTTTAGCTCAGCAAAAGCATTTTGTGACTTATTG